GGGCGTTGTTTTGTGGGCGGGGCGTTGTTTTCGTGGGCAGGGGGTGTTTTCGTGGGTGTTGTTTTGTGACGTGGCGTTGCCGTGTTGTTGTTGAAGGGCGGCGTCGTCAATGTTGGTGGTCGTGGTGGCCATGGGTGATAGACGAGTGACGTGGGTGGTGGTGGCTATGGGTGACGGTGATGGCGTGGTGTTGGCGGCGGTGACAAGCATGGTGGTGGTGGTGGAAGAAGGGTGTGACCGTGTTTGGTGAGCATCTTTGCCAAATAAACATTGTTTGTTATCCATCGAAAATAAATAAACTATAATACAGTGACAAATAAATAAAATAAACAGATTGGACTATAATCCATTCCTGACCACTCTGGGGAAAACCATTCCTGCCCATTCCGGGGAAGACCATTCCGGTGTAAATTCCGGAATGAGAAAACACAGGAATGACAAATTTAGCAGGGCTTACTGCTAAATTTCATTCCACAGGAATTCCACAGGAATGACCGGAATCCTGCAGGAATAGGGGGGGCACTGATAAGACCTCATAGAGTCACCTAACCCCCTCCTTACTGTGCCTCGTGCCGAAAAGGGAACAGTCTTTTATCAGAAGATCTGTCTAAGTTTGTCCTGATAGAGAAAGCGCATACAGAAAGAACATATAGATGGGTGAAGTAATGCCTTTGTGAATACTTTTTCGTTTGAGGTGTTTATGCAGAGGAGCCTGATGAGCATGGTTGCATTGGCAGAGGCAGTTGGGTCTGGGGGAAAGAGCCAATATATGGGCTCTGCATTAGGTTGGCGATTGGAGAATTGTCAGGCCCAGCAGTGTAAGTCCAACCTAGATGGTATTTGCATTGGCCAAGCCACAGGGCATTGCAGCACTTGTACTCACCATTATCAACACTGTCACGGTTCTGGCATATAAATCTCCTGTGCAGGTGGTTCGTCAGCCTTGGCAGGCAGAATTTAGTGCGGGGACCATTACAATCCCAATGACGACATGGATGTGGACAATGTGAAAGAATGAGGATGCGGAGGCTTCCACGATAATTGCTGCAGCACGCCTGTGGGCGCAAAGCCCTATCTAGGTATGGTGCTATTCAGTGTGCCTGATCACCAGCTATGTGAAACCTTCCTTTATCACCATCACCACCATCACTGTCGTCTGTACCGGTAGTACGCAGCAGTGTTCCCAGAGGGCATCAATCTTTTTCAAGGATGCTCGTGGGCAGTGATCCGGGGAGCTGCCTCGCTCTTATCAAATGATGCTGTTCTGGGCTGGGCTAAGGGGTGCGGTTGGCAGATAATGTGCAAGAAATGAAGGAACATGCACATCGTGTAGCCATTGGTAGATTGTTTTTGCGGTTGTCAAAACTGGGAACTGAATGTTGTATTTGGACTCCGCCTCGTTGTAGTTTAGCCTGTAGGGAGAATAAAGGTGAAATTAAAGAAAGGGGTTTGCATGCATACACCAGAACAGAAAAGATTGGGGAGTACCATTACTGTGACACACACTGTATGATTGAAAGTGGAAAGTCAATCAAATACAAACAGATGTCAAGGCGTCCGATGCAGCCATGTACTACTAGTATGTAGTATCTAACTTCAATTCAGTGCTTCTCTACAAAATAGCATCAGCAAATTATTTTCATGCATCCCCTCAGAGACTGGCACACCCTCACCTTCAGCTAAAATTTCTAGACACTGCTGATTATTGTACTCTTTGCCCCAGTACTTCTCCCACACACAAGGCAGCTGGTTGGGTGTCACAATCGCAACGCCTCTTTGCAAAAATGAAGGGTTGGTATCATGAGGATCCAGGTCTTGAAGGCTTGTACCATGCACATCTGCAGGCCTCCAAATGACAAGACTGTTTGCTGCGGCCTGTATGTGAATCCCATATGTTCTGATATAAAAGTGCCCCCCTGCATCAGAGGGGTGATCTCTTCTGACTGTCCAGGCAAATGCATATGTGTGGGGTTGATACTCCACATGTGTAGAACTGAAACATTTAGTAAGTATATCCCATCAAATAAGAATTTACAGAAGTGCACCTTGAATAACTTTGACCAAAGACACCAGATGGTGGAGCCATCTCTGCATCTTTGAAGATAAATTTAGCATCCCCAACACACACTGTGTATTCTCCATGGGTTCCAACACCCTCCCCTGCTATAAAATCTGATGCTGCTCCCTAACCAGATTTCATGCGAACCATATTGCAATGGTCAAGGAATACAAGGTCTTTATCATGCCCCACTGATTCCTGCCGGATTCCGGTCATTCCTGTGGAATCCAGCGGAATCCAGAGGAATCAAATTTGGCAGAGACACCAGCCAAAATGACATTCCAGGGGACAAATATTCCTCAGGAATGATGTCATTCCTGATTAGTAGCCAGAATGGTCCCCGGAATGGACAAAAAGGAATGCAACTGGAATGCAATGTCCGGAATACACATTACTAATCAATAATATTAATAAACATTAATATACCCATGCCCAAATCGAGTCTCAGCAAACGCCGAGGCTCAACTTCACATCATCAAACAATCCACAACATTTGTCTTCTAACCACCACCATCGTTGTCGACAACAACCGGGAACACCACGTCACCACCAGCCACAACCGTTGCCATTGCCGTCACCGCCCACTGAGGACGACAATGGACGACAACGGATGATGAGGACGACAACACGTCAGCAGATGACGAGGACGGCCACATGTCAACGGACGACGACCACGTCAACAGATGACGAGGACAACGACTACATGCCAATGGACAACAACCACGTCAACAGAGGATGGCCACGTCAACAGACAGCCATGACCATGGATGAGGATGTGCCCCCGACGATGGGAAACCAAGGTGCCATGTCGCTGTCAGTGACGTGGCAACAAGGTGAGTGCCCCATCCCAACACGTCTTGTTAACGACCACCACGACAGGACGGGTGCTCACAACAATGAGCGCCCATTGACAAACACCACACCACGTTACAACACAACGACAAAAAGTGCCCACGACGTAGAGCGCCCACCCCGTTGGTGAAGACAATGACGAGTGCATACGACGACACCACGACAACGCAACATGATGGCGACACCACACCACGATGGCGACACGACACCACGATGGCGACACCACACCACAATGGTGACACGACACCACGATGGCGACACGACACCACGATGGCGACACGACACCACGATGGCGACACGACACCATGACAGCGACATGACACCATGACGACACGCGCCCACATCATCGAGCGCCCACATCATCGAGCGCCCACATCATCGAGCGCCCACATCATCGACAACGCAACACGACTTCCTTTTCCCTCCCCCTTCCTTTTCCCTCCCCCTTCCTTTTCCCTCCCCCCTTTGTCCCTCCCCCTCCCCCTTCCCTGTCCCTCCCTATTCCTTGTCCCCCCCCCCCCCCCCCAGAA